GCAAATATAGCTGAAGTTTAGCAGAGCCACCAACATCGAATATAGCAAAAGTCTAGCAGAGCCACCAACACCAAATGTAGCAAAAGTCTAGCAAAGCCAACACACCAAATGTAGTTTGAGTCAGATCCGCCACCCAAAAGTAGCATCTTAAGTCTAGCAGAACTACAATACAAAATATTGCTTAAGTCTACCACAGCCTCCGCACCAAATGTAGCAGAAAAGGAACAGAGCCAATTCACCAAAGGTAGATTGAATCTAGCAGAGCCACCAACACGAGTTGTAGCCTTAGTCTAACACAAGATGTATAACTTGAATCCCCATTATTGTGTTATACGTATTAACTTTAAATAGAGTTGACAGACTTAAGAGCAACAACCTTGAAATACAAAAGTAATGGCCACGGTGACAGGAAACGCACTTCATTTAATTTATTTTCACGTCCTTTCTCAAACATTGACAAATATATATCTTTAGAAATTCAGAAAACTAGGTCATGGTTCTATAATGTCATGACATAATGTACACCCCTCATCGACAGACGTCGTAAAACACTCCATTTAGAATTGCCAATTTGCATCAGAAACGAAAAAGTAAGCAAAAAAAAACAGCATAAATTTGGGCTGTAATTGGATGGATGAAACTTGATGTAGATGGGGACCACCAACCTGTCATTTACAGTGCAGTGGGCAGGGCCCGGGGGGTTGCGCGTGCACGCGAGCTCAGCTAGACAAACAGCCTACTCACAAGTTACGGGTCTCGCGATACTCATTCTGACCAAACGCAGCGCAGCTGAAACCACCTCAAATAACGTTTTTGTAAGTGGCTAATGACACAGACTTTATTTTACATTGTCTAACGTATACTTTTTACCAAAGAACTTCGTGCATGAAGAACAGCTATTATCTAGGAAACTTTTATCAATGTTTTGCTGACAATCGGAATGTAATCGCGTGCTCCATTCCCTTTCTTCTCTAATGGTGTCTATCACTAAATCCCACATCGTCTATTTGAACGCCTACTTGTCAAAATATGTGTTTTAACCTCACAGAGGTCATAGCACGAAGTCGTGTGGTTGCTTCATTGTATATGCGGTTTGACCTCTTGCCTTGACATGAGACCTTGCTGTATCGAGACGATCACGCAAAGCTCCATTCCTGCGCGTCCCAGCGTACTCTGTATCGGCCAAAATTGAACATATTGGACATGAGGAATATGATATCGCCCTCGGGAAATCTGATTGATCTCGTTCCGAAGGTATACATGTCTTCCTTATACAAGGCAAATAAATGTACAACATGACCGATGTTTTCATTCTGTTTCTGTAACTAGATGTAAGTAGTATTGACCGACTAGACAGATCTCCTGTCGCCCTCATTGACCAGGACAATGAATCACCTGGCCCAGTGTGTCCCAGAGCTCCACTGTGTCAAAACTCGACCAATCGGTTCTTGTGACTGTCTGATTCATCATCAATTGCCGCACATCTCAGACTTCTCTCAGAGATGTCTGTGAATCAACAACATCCCATGATAATCAATATTGTAATACGATTTGATAATCTTTGACCAGTTAATAGGGTTATTTAGTCCAAATAATACCATACAATTCTTTAATTTCTACTAAATTTGTTATCGTCTGACACATGTGATCTTTCTATTATTCAAAATTATCTGCAAAATTTGTCTGTCAACTTAAAGTGTTCCACATCTATAAAACCACGATGCACTTCACTACTGTCAGACCGACTCGCGAAATCGACAACAGATGCATTTAACAACTGAAATGTACATTTCTCATTGCTAACAGCAACGCATTCGAACTAACGCCGTTAAAATTCGCAAACAAGTGCCGGGAGAGTTTTTATTTGTCATTGATCTCCTATAATGGGTAGTCAACCTTTACAAACAGTAGCTAGTACAACATTAACACTTCTAGTCTACGTGATAACACAAGTTGTTTTCTAAAATAGCAGCTTTTAATTGTGTACACAAGCTCGGTACAAACACATTTTCGATCGTCACCATAATGTATTGCCAGATAGCGTGCAGTGTAATTCTCTTACCGATGGTTGTAATATGGAAATTATGGCGACAAACAGTTGAGAATTTTGGAATATTTGATAAATGATAAAATATGACTGCAGTCAGAATAGAGAAAAATTCCGGTTTCACCAGAAATTGGTCTCCAGACTCAAATTCATGAGAACTTTCTGAATATATCATTAAGATTGAATTGTCTGACTAGTGCAGAAATGGTACGGTGTGATTGAATGAGGTGTGAGTGAACAACGATTTATCTTCGTATTATTGAGGCAAACCTATGGTAGTGTCCCATCTTCAAACTCCAATCTACAATATATCCAGGATACTTCTACAGGGTATCCTCTCTAGGATACTTCTACAGGGTATCCTCTCTAGGATACTTCTACAGGGTATCCTCCCTAGAATACCTTTTCAGGGTATCAAGTATCCTAGGTAGGATTCCCTGTGGAAGAATCCTAGAGAGGATACCATGTAAAGGTATTCTAGAGAGGATACCATGTAGAAGTATTCTAGAGAGGATACCATGTAGAAGTATTCTAGAGAGGATACCATGTAGAAGTATTCTAGAGAGGATACCATGTAGAAGTATTCTAGAGAGGATACCATGTAGAAGTATTCTAGAGAGGATACCATGTAGAAGTATTCTAGAGAGGATACCATGTAGAAGTATTCTAGAGAGGATACCATGTAGAAGTATTCTAGAGAGGATACCATGTAGAAGTATTCTAGAGAGGATACCATGTAGAAGTATTCTAGAGAGGATACCATGTAGAAGTATTCTAGAGAGGATACCATGTAGAAGTATTCTAGAGAGGATACCATGTAGAAGTATTCTAGAGAGGATACCATGTAGAAGTATTCTAGAGAGGATACCATGTAGAAGTATTCTAGAGAGGATACCATGTAGAAGTATTCTAGAGAGGATACCATGTAGAAGTATTCTAGAGAGGATACCATGTAGAAGTATTCTAGAGAGGATACCATGTAGAAGTATTCTAGAGAGGATACCATGTAGAAGTATTCTAGAGAGGATACCATGTAGAAGTATTCTAGAGAGGATACCATGTAGAAGTATTCTAGAGAGGATACCATGTAGAAGTATTCTAGAGAGGATACCATGTAGAAGTATTCTAGAGAGGATACCATGTAGAAGTATTCTAGAGAGGATACCATGTAGAAGTATTCTAGAGAGGATACCATGTAGAAGTATTCTAGAGAGGATACCATGTAGAAGTATTCTAGAGAGGATACCATGTAGAAGTATTCTAGAGAGGATACCATGTAGAAGTATTCTAGAGAGGATACCATGTAGAAGTATTCTAGAGAGGATACCATGTAGAAGTATTCTAGAGAGGATACCATGTAGAAGTATTCTAGAGAGGATACCATGTAGAAGTATTCTAGAGAGGATACCATGTAGAAGTATTCTAGAGAGGATACCATGTAGAAGTATTCTAGAGAGGATACCATGTAGAAGTATTCTAGAGAGGATACCATGTAGAAGTATTCTAGAGAGGATACCATGTAGAAGTATTCTAGAGAGGATACCATGTAGAAGTATTCTAGAGAGGATACCATGTAGAAGTATTCTAAAGAGGATACTATGTAGAAGTATTCTAGAGAGGATACCATGTATAATCCTAGAGAGGATACCCTGTAGAAGTATTCTAGAGAGGATGCCATGTATAATCCTAGAGAGGATACCGGGTAGAAGTATTCTAGAGAGGATAACATGTATAATCCTAGAGAGGATACCGGGTAGAAGTATTCTAGAGAGGATAACATGTAGAAGTATTCTAAAGAGGATACTATGTAGAAGTATTTAAGAGAGGATACCTCTCTAGGATACTTCTACATGATATCCTCTCTAGAATCCTTTTACAGAGTATCCTCTCTAGAATACTTCCACATGGTATCCTCTCTAGAATTATACATGGTATCCTCTCTGAGATTATACATGGTATCTTCTCTAGGATTATACATGGTATCTTCTCTAGAATACTTCTACATGGTATCCCCTCTAGAATACTTTTAGATGGTATCCTCTCTAGAATACTTTTAGATGGTATCCTCTCTAGAATACTTTGAGATGGTATCCTCTCTAGAGTACTTCTACAGGGTATCCTCTCTAGGATAATACATGGTATCCTCTCTAGGATTATACATGGTATCTTCTCTAGAATACTTCTACAGGGTATCCTCTCTAGAATACTTCTACAGGGTATCCTCTCTAGGATTATACATGGTATCCTCTCTAGGATTATACATGGTATCCTCTCTAGAATACTTCTACAGGGTATCCTCTCTAGAATACTTCTACATGGTATCCTCTCTAGGATTATACATGGTATCTTCTCTAGGATTATACATGGTATCCTCTCTAGAATACTTCTACAGGGTATCCTCTCTAGAATACTTCTACAGGGTATCCTCTCTAGAATACTTCTACATGGTATCCTCTCTATGGAACTTCTACATGGTATCCTCTCTAGGATACTTATACATGGTATCCTCTCTAGGATACATCTACAGGGTATCCTCTCTATGGAACTTCTACAGGGTATCCTCTCTATGATATTTCTAGATGGTATCCTCTCTAGCATATTTCTACAGGGTATCCTCTCTAGAATACTTCTACAGGGTATCCTCTCTAGGATTATACATGGTATCCTCTCTAGGATTATACATGGTATCCTCTCTAGGATTATACATGGTATCCTCTCTAGGATTATACATGGTATCCTCTCTAGAATTATACATGGTATCCTCTCTATGGAACTTCTACATGGTATCCTCTCTATGGAACTTCTACAGGGTATCCTCTCTAGGAAACATCTACAGGGTATCCTCTCTAGAATACTTCTACAGGGTATCCTCTCTAGGAAACATCTACAGGGTATCCTCTCTAGAATACTTCTACATGGTATCCTCTCTAGAATACTTCTACATGGTATCCTTTCTGGGATACTTGAAAAAGGTATCATGTCTATGAAACTGATACAGGGTGTCCTCACTAGAATGCATCTACATGGTACCCTCTTTGGGATACTTCTACAGGGTACCCTCTCTAGGATACTTCTACAGGGTATCCTCTCTGGGATACTTCTACAGGGTACCCTCTCTAGGATACTTTTACATGGTATCCTCTCTGGGATACTTCTACAGGGTATCCTCTCTGGGATTATACATGGTATCCTCTCTAGAATACTTCTACAGGGTACCCTCTCTAGGATACTTTTACATGGTATCCTCTCTGGGATACTTCTACAGGGTACCCTCTCTGGGATACTTTTACATGGTATCCTCCCTCGAACGCATCTACGGGGTATCTTTTTAGGATACTTTTACATGGTATCCTCTCTGGGATACTTATATAGTGTATCCTCGCTGGGATACATCTACGTTGGTATCTACCCCAGAGTACTTCTCTATATTACACTGGGATATCCTTTTTTAAATATGACTTGGGTTATTTCCTACGCAAGTGAGTTAACATTTAATCAAATTACATATAAGAATAAACTATTGCGAATTTCATATACAAATACGTTATTGGATACTTTGCATGGAAATACATTATAGGGCATTCATCTTGCTTATTTTACCGAGTATTCAGGTTACGACTTTGATATATATTGTTTGGGAATTTCACATACAAATATATCATAAGATATCCTATTCCGCTTGTGAGATTTGAAGACAACGAGTTTCCTGTCCTCGGGAAATAAAATATCTTGAACCAAAATTTAAAGATGATAAAATTATAAGAATACAAGGTCAGTTTTCTGATACTTTATATCACGAACAGGGACGGTATCACATGGTCTGGGTCACAAAATGATGGTGTCGTATAGAACTTAACTTACATTGAACGTGGCAAGGGAGGCAACTCTGTCTTGCGCTCGTAGAACTTTGCAAGACAACTCGGTCTTCCTTAACATTGAAGTGCGTTTTAGCGATGGAGGGTAGACAACTCTAACAAACATTAAAACATGTCGAGGGGAACAACTCATATTGTCTTAGAGGAAGTAAAATGAAGGGAGACCATAAGCATTATTTTTTAAACAATTACTTGAAGTTTCTTGATTATACTAAAGTTTCCTACTAGATTTAGGGACGTAGCATAACACAATATCACATAAACGGAGGAAACTTTGTGAAATGTGAATGAAATTCATAATTCCTATCTTATTCGAATAACTTCTAGAAACAGTCCTCATACAATCAAATATAACAGAGGAGATTAGAACAGAACGCAAATTTACTCAAAAACAAAAGTCTTATCAACACTTAACCGAATGTTGGTAGTAAGGTTTTATTTTAACAAATTCATTAAAGGTTTTTTTTTGTGGTTTCCTGTATAAAGTAATATGATTGAGTCGTCAAATTTTAAAATCCGAATAAATGATACCGAGACTTAAGGTGGCTCCACACTTTCGCAATTAACCCGCAAAATTCGTTGAAACTTTCATATAATGGTTATGCAACTATGTAGAGTTAATTTTATGAAAATCTTAACATTCCGATAGTTTGGGGACTTTTCTGGAAAAAATACCAAAAAATTGAATTTTCGCCACTTTTAATATTTTCCGGGTTTTTTTTGTGTGTGGCTTTGTTCGGAACAATAACAGCAATAAAAAAACACATGTTACACAAAGTGTTTTTTTATTGAATTTGAACGGATACAAGTGATTATCTACAAGCTAAAAGCAAACAGGACACAAAGATCTATACGTATAGAGTGGGAAATTGAACAAAATATACACAATGGCTTTATAATTAATTAATTTAACATTTTACAATCACTTTGATCCGGGTGAGAGTTATCTTCCTTGAAAAAAATCGGAACTTTTTGCAAAGGGATGACATTTACACAATGACAGTTGTCTCTGTTTACATATAACAAAAATGATGGAAATAAATCAAAAATATGATATCAAAATTATAAATTTATTGTTCTTTAATGGAACCAAATTACCCTCAGTCATGTACACTTTGGACATCATCCCACAGTCCGCTAACTCACGGTATATTTATAATTACATGTCAGGTACATATGTGACCAGAGGCTATCGCATGGTATGCCGTTCTCACGTGCACTCACACATGCATTTCATAGGTATCTTGATATTTTACAAAACATTATTTTCACAGAGTAAGTAGACTACATTTGTAAACACGATTTAATCGACAGAGCGAAACTCCCTCAGCTTATGAACTCGTGTAAGCACGTGATATGCACATATGAGGTTGGTACGTCCGCATTCCATGTGTTTCCTATATGACCTTCTTGAGGTCGTCTGGTCTCATGTCACTGTCTTCCCGTGAGTCTGTTTATGTCTATGAATTGGAAAGCTTTATTCCTGAAGTACGTGTGATTATACATTTCCCGGTAAAATCTCGATATCGGGTGTTGACATATCATCGGCACGCACGTGTACTATTGTTTACCAGGGGCCTGTTCGTTTATGCGGAACAACCGGTTTGACCGTTTATAAATGTAACAATTTCGGGTATAAATCCTGGCGGACCTGCAAATGTGTATGCAAGCCTTGCAAGGCTTTCTCAAGGCTCGCCTGAAAGCAGCATCAGATTACTAGGTCCTTCCTTATTTAATAAACGAACAACAGAAGTCCGATCGGTTTTACCGTTTAAACGCAAACGGCCCAGGTGTTATTATAATTTGCACTACGATATTGAATGCCCGATACGCAATACGGAAATGACGACAAGGTGTACATGCACATTTCGATCAAGATAATTGAGTCCGAGCTGTACTTTTTCCAGAAGTACGTCACGAAAATGGACGCTGATGACGATGTGTGGAGCCACCTTAACTAGGACTGGTTACGTTAGTGCAACGAGGGATAGTATCTTCATTATACGTCCCTGGTGCAACATATCAAGTGATAGCATAGAAACACTTGATCAGGTTATCACAGGGCACCATTCAAGTTACGTGTTATCATACGGCAACATTTCGAGTGATTGCATAGGGCAACATTTTAAGTGATGTAAAAGGACAACATTTTAAATGTTACCACAAGCAGCATATTAAGGGTTTTCAAGTGCAGATTCAACGGGTTATCACAGGGCAACCGGTTGACATCGGGCAACATTTAATATTTTATGATGGGCAACATTTTAAATGTTATCATAGGCAACATTGGAATTGTTACCACCGGTAAAATTTTAACAACTTTTCTTACGGAAATATTGCAAATGTTGCCAGAAAGCAACATTATTGTAGCTGGCATAGGGCGATATTTCAAGGTTATATAACATACACATGTACTTAAGGATAGTTTTTTTCTGATATCGGAGCTAAAGGTCCTCTACATCAGACTCAAATGCATAGGTCGCAAATCCGATGGAGTAAAGGACCTGCTGATTTGGAAGATTGTTCGAACTACGCAGACCTCCTGTCTGCAGAACTTGATTGTGGACAGTTGTCTGGAGTTGCCCCTTCTACTATATCGTGCCGTCTCGTCTCCCCGCAACTTGAAGAATCCGCGTGCCTCCTCCTTGTCATAGATCCCTTGTGTGATTTTAAATAACTCAAACAAGTCACCTCTATGTCAGCGATACGATAATGTTGAAAGTTCAATTTTTTAGACGTTCCGGATAACTGGGATCCTTGAGATCAGGTATTTATTTTGTGGTTCTTTCTTGAACTCCTTCAT